CACGAGTACGGGGGCGGAAGCAATCAATAGGCTAACATATCAGTGCCCGCGCGGCTTCCAAAAGAGACAATTACTTATTCAAAAAGTGCAATCGTGTCTGTAAATGGCTCATATTGGGGGAAAATAATCCAAATGAGAATTCGATGGAACAATGCCCACTTTGGACCAAGTCATGTGAAATGAAGAGATTCGAGTCGGGTTAGCTTATCAAAAGGTTCCGTACCTAGGTTGTGAATTCGATAGCAGTAACTAGATTTCAAGTCATGCCGTACACATGAGTGATTCAAATAAGCAGTAAATAGTCAAGAGTTGGGGTGGCTGTGCACAGCGAAATGTAAAAAACGAGAAATTCACAAAGTTAGAATCAATGAAGGCATTTGGAATTGGGATTGTGTGTGACCAACTTTTACTAAGTCATGTCAGGTTTAAGGAATATTGAGAAGCATTTAATCCGAACATGAGGAACCATTCCAAGTAATAACTTAAGGTCATCCACAAAAGAGAATCGGGAGGTCCACATATCCCCTTAAACTAAAGTAAAAAACAAATAACCTGTTTAATAAGACTTTGAATTTCATTTTCTGGGGCAGATGTGGCCATCACAGTACTCATAGAACCCTCAACGGTAGAAGTTCGAACATCCAGATCCGTAAAAGTCTTTTCAAAATCGCTCATCACTTTCTCAATCTTTTCAAGATTCATCGATGCCATGCTAGATTTGAGCCGATTTGTAACTCTTCCAATATCTTTTGTCATTGATTTCATGGTTGAAGCCGTCCTCAAGCGTGACTGAACGGCATCAAGTCGGGATGCCATCACCATGTATTGAATGCTTTCCTTGTGTTTCCGAATTGAGTCTTCAGCATAGACACGAGCTGCATCTACATTTTTCGCCTCTAGCGCCTTTTGGAAAACGACAGTACTATTATAAAAAGCAACATACTTTCTTTAATTTACTTCGACACACATTTGACTCGGCTTCAGCCCTTTGGGAATACCGAGTGAGTTGCTTTCCACTAAATTTTAAATCAAAAATAACATCTTGCAAATGAATTTGTGGCACATTTACCTTCCAATGATGGTTGCCTGAACAATCCCTTCATCACAGCCAACGAGGAAGCACTTAAAAGTCAACTGATTAAACCGGCACATCCGCAAGGCGACTTTGCTGGCGAAGAAGTTAAACAATTAAACAATTTAGCAAAACTACATTAAATGTTCGGATTTTTCTGCTTAGGCGACGCATACGGCCAGATATATAACTGCCTTGCTTATGCGTAATGCTCTCTAGTTAGCTCCAACTAAATCTTGATTATTTTTGAATATTGGCCCCCACGTTCGATAGAACTTCATCAATTAGCGTGCGGAGGTCACCTTGAGTCTTTTTGGTGTGACATGTCAGTTCTCATTAACCAATGTAGAAAATGCCCGCCTACCATAGGCCATTGAACCTCCGACTTCAAGACAGGGTTGGGTGAAGATGACTTATTTAACAGATGGGCCAAATAGGAGATATCAACTAGAAAGAGACTCCTCACAGCCCTCTCGCACGTGATTCGTGCTCCCATTTGGTCCACACCTCTCTCCCATAAAGGTCCACTAATACAATCCAGTATACATTACAACAACTTCACCAAACGCTGCATTTTTAACTGAATTTTCATGATATAATTCCAAGCTGCAATCCTTTTTGGGTTTGAAATTAGCAACAGTTGGATCCAATACATTTTATGCTTTCAATTGACATTTTGCGGTTTCTTCTGTTGCGTCCGAGACTTCGTAGCCGGTATAAGTATTCGGTAAGTGCAGATGGATACATGTATTACGAAGAGGAAAGGGCTAAATGACCTGGGCATGGTCCGAAGGCCAGCCCACGTGTACAGAG